AGTTGCATTTTTTGAACCCTTGTCCGCCGAGGATAGACGACTTAGTAACAATGGTCCTAAAGGGATGTTCAGTCTCGGGGACCACATCAACCGCCACGATCTTCTCTTCAACCACGTCGAACTGCTTCCTGCTTGAGTAAAGGGACGCAAGAACTCCGTTCTTGTTCCCCAACCTGTAGTAACCGTCCGACATGACCTCGAGAACGACTGCCGTGACATTTCTGGGGTCCCCTCGACCTCTGTCCACTTAAGCTGTTGTACCATGGGGTACATTATACCTGTAGATGGTGTACCGGAGGTACGAAGAAGCTGGAGGTACAAGTGGATGGTGGCACCTGTTCGAAATCTTGATGCGTGCGACTACTTTATGGTTAATGAAAAAATCGAGGGGGCCACCACTCTCTCTTTGGATGTACACGTGATTTCACATGATTTTACGGATTTCGCATATTATTTTAGAAGATTTCACGCTAAAACCTGCCGGCAGATTATGTCTGATTTGAAGGATTACAGATGATTTCAGCGGATTTTACCGGATTTCGGCGGATTTTACGTGATTCCGGCGGTTTTTACATGACCTTCTAGGGATTTCAGACTAAAATTTGCTGGCAGATTACGCATGATTTCATGATTGCAGGTGGATTTCAAATGATTTCGGGAGGATTTCAGGGAGGGCGTACACATGATTTCAGGAGTGGCGGCCCCCTCGGAAAAAATTCAGCCCAACCCAGTTAAACGTCTTCTCTTGCTCTTTTTATTAAATAATGCTCGAACATAATGTAACTTCCACAGTAAAAATGAGATACCGTCTATATTACTCGAAAACGATCTGTTTTAAGCTGCCCGAGATCTTTTTTTTTTGACAATTTCCCTATGTGCTCGCCCAAATACGGATAGGAAGCTCACACGTTCGGTATTTCGATTGGAGTGAAGTCGACATTGGTATCGCTGTTGTTTTGAAAGCCTTTGATGCCTTCAGCACCACCCATTGCTCCAGCTTTACCTTTGTCTAAATAGACCTGGGGTACCACTTCTGCAAAGGCTCGCAAGCATGATATGCATCCAGTGTTGTTTTGCGGCTCGATGATTTTGACGTCAATGCGCCATTTGCCGTAGAAGAAGGCCGGGAATTGACGTGTGACACCTAGGTCTACAGTTGCGTTGCGAACTTTGTACATTCCCTGAAGAACATAAGAACGAAAATTAACTCGTGAAACTTTAATATGCAAACAAAGCGAGGACTTATTCAATACTATCGCTATAATATTGTGTTTTAACCTTGCACTGTCTAGCCCGCTGTTCTGCTTTTAAACAAGCATTAATGCGGGCTTATGCAACCGATCTCGTGTCCGTCTGTCCGTCCGTCGTGTGTGTAAGAGGAAGGAGATGTGATGTGATACAGACTTGAAATTTTCAGGGTATCTAAGCTTCACACCTAGGAAACGAAACGCCTACGGCAAATCCTGGCAACCACCCCTAAGGATGTCATTTAGGGTATCAAAGAAACAGAGGTAGGTCCAAAAAATTTATTGTTTATAGTCTCTCCCGTGATACCCGACCCGTGTTCATACAGGTAACGTATAAGGTTCATATGTGGTCAGTGGCCAGTGTGTAATCTGTCCGCTACATACGATCCGTATGTAGACGATGTTGCGTTCCGGTACATACGCTGCGTATGTATACCGCACGTTAACCGTGTACATTTGTACACACCGCGTACGTACGTATGTCATACGGTCTCCATTGTGGCAGATCTGGGCAACTCACGAACAAATGAGGTTGTCCTATGTGTTGTGTATGCAGACGTACAGAACATGTTCGTGCCGCATGCGTTCTGTATTTCAAAATTTGACTGCCAGTGAATTGCCTCAGTCAGCGCGTCGTCAACTTTAAGACGATTTTGTTTTAGATGAGAATTTTCTTACGACACAGGCTTTTAATTTTGCGTAAAGTGTTTTTATTAACATTTGCCATCACCGACAACGTGTGGCATTTTTTCTGTAATTTAACCATATTCTAGAAGTAAATGGTTAGTTTTTAAAGCTCGGAGGTCCGGTTTACGACATCTTGGTTGGGTATGGCGGCGTTCACATCCGTTCAGCGTCGGGACTTTGAGCACTGCGGCCATATTTTCGGAACAGCATACTCTCTGCTACCAACGACCCGTGTCGTTTCAGTGGGAATGGCGTGAAGGCCTACGCTTGTATTTAAAAGTCTTAACATATTCGTTATACATACGGCGTTGCGTATACGTTGCGTACGGCTAAGGTCGGGTCCCCGGCTAATGTCGACCCTAGCCGGCTAAGGTCGGTTTTGGTCAACCGTAGCCGAAATCGCGGCTAAGGTCGACGCTAGGCGGCACAAATCGGCTAGGGTCGACCTTAGCCCACCATCTCCGGCTAAAGTGATCCAATGGTGGGAGGGGGAATGGAGGGGGCACTTTTAAGCATTGGAAGGATTTATTATGAAAAGTGAACAACTAATTAGCATGGCCATAAGGCAACGTAGGAAAGAACAGTTCTATTTGTTACCGCATGGACCTCCCCCATGACATTGTGACTTGCACTTTTCTCCTGCCTTTCTACAAGTGCACTTATTGGTCATACATCTTCCCTTGCAGTTGCATTTTTTGAACCCTTGTCCGCCGAGGATAGACGACTTAGTAACAATGGTCCTAAAGGGATGTTCAGTCTCGGGGACCACATCAACCGCCACGATCTTCTCTTCAACCACGTCGAACTGCTTCCTGCTTGAGTAAAGGGACGCAAGAACTCCGTTCTTGTTCCCCAACCTGTAGTAACCGTCCGACATGACCTCGAGAACGACTGCCGTGACATTTCTGGGGTCCCCTCGACCTCTGTCCACTTAAGCCACTGGAACGACGACAGTATCCCCGACGGATGCTGGGGGGAACTTCGCATCGGAAATTTTCAGCATTGTTGCAGCCTGCTTGCGGAGGTTCTTCTCTGCCGTCGCCCTCAGCTCCAGCTCCAGCACAGCAGTGGACCGCGAGCAGTTCCCACACTTTCCTCGCTTGGCGCAGCAAGGGTGCAGCCCCGTGCCGCACTCGCTGCACTCGTCGTGTGCGCTGCACGCCTCCCCACACTGACAGCAAGACAACAGTGGGCTGCCGGCTCTGGCTGCTGCGTAGGATGCTGATGGCGCTGCCCAGCCGACAAAGCGCGGCGTGGAGACTGGAGTGGTCGTCGCTGCAGACAAGCGGTGCGGTGTCCTCAAGACGGATGGTCCAGGCGGAGGAGAGTTGGACGGGGGGCTGGTTGGAGGTGTTGATGGAGGGGGCCGGACAGGTGGAGGGCCAGTCAAGATGTGCAGCGGAACTCGTCGTCGTGGAGTCGTTCCTGTAGAGTGCTGCGCTGCTCCAACGTCGTGGTCTGCTGGGCTGGCCTGGCTGGCCTGCACAGTAAACAATGCGGTTCCTTTAGTTTCCGGGAAAATGTACTGTTTCCAGTGTAATCATCAGTAATTTAACTTACCGTCTGTGGTGATCCTTCGCCTATCCTCATCTCCTCCAAGAAGGCTTGAAGATCCTCCTCGGTGTGGAGCTCGTCAACGGCTCCCAAGGGGAAGGCCGCCTGAAGGCCCACCTTCATGGGGGTGCCAAACATAGCCTCATATGAGGAGATTTTGGTGCCCTGGTGAATGGCCCGATTCTTCATGCATTGCACGAAACGCAGTCCCTCCGACCATTTCTTCGACAGATGCTGCATCATCCATGCAGTTAACATGTCCTGCACGTCCTGATTGGCACGTGCCACCGAGCCCTGCGTCTGGCTGTGCCTCGGCTTCCCGTGCACAACCTTCACTTCCTCCCTCTTGGCCTAGAATATAAGAGATAGTTTAGAAGAAAAAATCAAGTTATGCAGCTAGGTCGAGTAAGAAAGTGAATCTTACCGTCATCTCCTCTATAAGGTGGTTGCAGAACTCTCTGCCGTTATCTGATTGCAGTACAGATGGTGCGCCCAATAAGCAGAAGACGTCCAACAGTTGTTCTGCCACTTCTTCGGCTGTCTTCCTCGCTAGCGGGCGTAGCACCACAAACTTGGTCAGATGATCTTGGTATACAAAAGTAATGTATAGGGTCCATCCGGATGGCTTTGCATGTCGATCAGGTCCACTTGGCATCGCTCGTTCATCTCCTGAAATACCATGGGCTTCACAACAATCCCTCTTCTCTTGGGCTTCTTCTTTGCAAGGCATATTCCGCACAGCGATAAGAATAGGAGCACTGCTTCCTGAGACGCATTTGCGTATTTGTCTCCCAGTATTGGTAGCATGCTGTTTTTCCCACCGTGACACACGGCCATAAGTGCGCCTCCAGGAGGGCGTCATACATTTCTGAGTTCCTCAGGTAGTACTTAGGCTGCTCACCTCCACCTGGCGGCTCGATGAGGCGCTCCTCCCCGTTGATGGTGCAGATGGCGTATTTTCTTATGCGGTCGCGGCCCTTCTTGGTGCGGCCAGTTGTCTTCGCTGTTGCCTCCTTCACCTCGTTGAGAACCTTGGAGTACTTCTCATCAGAAAGGTAGGCCGCGTTCACCCCCTTCTTGGATGTGATGGCCTCCAGTTTCTCTTCAAACTTCTCTCGGTTCGGGGGAAGTTCCTCCATGTTGCACAGTCTCGCCGAAAATGTTTAAAAGTAGCGCCAGGCAACCACACCCCACCCCAACCCCCGTCCGGTACCCCCTCCTTGAACCCCCTAAACAATAATGGGGAAGAACATTGGTGATGGGTCAAGGCGCCCCCCTCCCCTCCCCCTTCACAGCGTCCCAGGGTACCCGGAACGTACCTTAGCCGGACATAGCCGGCTAAGGTCTACCTTAACTGGTTAAAGTCGATGACGTTCACAAGAGCGAACTGTCACAAGCGCGACCCGCCATAAGCGCGAATGCCGCAAGCGCGATCCGGCGCAAGCGCGAACGTCGCAAGAGCGAACGTCCGCAAGCGCGAATCGTCGGAAGCGCGACCCGTCACAAGAGCGACAGCTGTGAGGCGCAGCTTACGGGGAAGCGGCTTTCTACGCGAGACGGGCGAGATCGAGGCGTAGGTCGAGAGGGTCGGCAGTCGTGTATGAGGGATTAGGAGAAACGATGCCGTTGTGATGCTGGTAAACCGGCTGCAGCCTCGAGATCGGTTTGCTGTCTATGTTACGTGTGTTTGAATTGGTAAGGAACGTGACACGATTGTTGCAGTGAGAGACATCGCAATGACGGTACGTCATACATTACAGACTAGGTAGATGTACGCCAGACCACGTCTCGCGTAACAGGTTTCGCGATATCTCACGAAACACTGTTACGCTGCGACGCGCCTGGCATACATCTACCTAGGCCTGCGGCGCTGACCCCGGAGTTGGGCGAAAGGCACGGTCGTTAATAGGCCTTTGGCCCCAAAAGTCACAAATTTTGTGCCTCGGTGTTTTACTTTGACGAGTTACCCCCCAGTCAACAAAACATAGTCCCGAACACATCCCTGGTATAACCCGTTTGGGATGTGGGAGTCCCAGCCAGGACGTCCCACAGTACTACAGAATGCAACACTTTTAGACCCTGAGCAGAAGATAAGCACCTCCCACCAGTACGTCCTGAGTGGGAGGTGATAGGGTATTTCAATGGAGCGCTGCCCGGAACTATGAAGAACAAAAACGGATACAGAGAGCGGTGGTGGGGGCGGGCGCGCGGAGGAG